CCTGTGTGTGCCTGTCCATGTGTGCGCCTGTCTGTACCTGTCTGTGTGCCTGTCTGTGTGTGTGCCTGTCTGTGTGTGTGCCTGTCTAGGTGTGCCTGTCTAGGTGTGCCTGTCTAGGTGTGCCTGCCTGTGTGTGCCTGTTTTTGTGTATCTGCCTGTGTGTTCCTGTCTGTGTGTGGCTGTCTGTGTATACCTGCCTGTGTGTTCCTGTCTGTGTGTGGCTGTCTGTGTGTGCCCGCCTGTGTGTGCCCGTCTGTGTGTGCCCATCTGTGTGTGGCTGTCTGTGTGTGCCCGCCTGTGTGTGCCCACCTGTGTGTGCCTCCAGAGGAAGAAACACTACTCAGAAAGCCCGTGTAATGTCAGGGCTTAACAATGCTCTTTATCAAAAGTTATCTACTTTTAGATCCCAGCATTCCTAACCCGAGTCCTATTCCCTACACCCTGAGTTCTGAAAGACTTGATTCCTAATCCCAAAAGAAGCTGCTGCAGTACTGTGCAGTCCCTGGCCCTGGCCCACCTGTTCCTGGCCGCAGCTCCACGGTGCAGTAGCCCTCAATCCACTGATAGCTGGGAAAGTGAGTCACCGTGCCATCTGGGGCAGTGACGCTGATTCGACTGCAGTACCAGGGGTCCTTGCGGAAGAAAGCAAAGCGCTCCTTGTGTAAGCGCAGCAGCAGGATCTCACCCAGTTCTGCTGCGCAGCGCACCTTGAACTTCTGAACCTGGAGTGATGGAGGCGCAAGCAAGACAATGAGAGGAGGGACTGCCGCGGCATCTTTGCACTGGGAAAGGTGCATTAGAACCTCCACTTCTTCTGGCAGATAAGCCTGAGCACTTGTTGATCCATGCGGCTCCTTTGCATGAATGAGAAAAAGCCTGTCTTCAAATAGAAACAGGTACCACACAGTGCTTGTGCGGAGTTTTGCTAGCATTCCTAGCCTCCTTGACCAACAGGGCACTTTTATGTAGGGCAAACTCTTCTAGTGGCTGAAAAAGGGAAAGCAGACCCCTTCCAGAGAACAGGAAATCCATGGTCAAAGTGAGGAAGCTATTTGGAAAAATTCTAGGGTCACTAATGGGAGGAGCCAGACCAAGCAGTGGTGATGCACGCCTTTAAGCCCAGCGCTGAAGAGGCAGAACCAGGCAGTTCTCTGAGTTCGAGGTCAGCCTGGTTGGTCTACAGAGTGAGCGTCAGGACAGCCGAGGTTGTGCAGAGAAATCCTGTCTGGAAAAACCACTAACAACAACAACAACAATAAATTGGAGGAGGAGTCAGGAAGCCAGGGAAAGTCCCCAGAGCCGCTTATAAGTGCTCCTTCTCCACAGCCCTGTCTCATCATTCAAAAGGCAGGGACCACAAACGAAATGGTGACAAAGTTATGGTCATCATCCTGAGTTCAGCAAGACCTGAGGAATCCAACCAGAGTAATCCTTAGCTCTATCAGGTTCCCCGTGAGTGAGGTCTGTTCCTTAGAGGTCCCCAATCTCTCCTGTGTACTCACCGATCCAGAGGCAAAGTCCCTGCCCACACGATCCAGCCTCTGCTTGGGGCTCTCACCACAGGTGCCCACCAAAGTAGCATAGATGTTGTCCAGTGTGCCAGCCTTCAGGTAGGAACCAGTGGTTACACACAGGCGGTAAACTGCCATGGTGGGACCCGATAACCCGAAAACAGTAGCTGGCCCAGAGAAGGTGAGCTACAGGCAGAGCAGGGTCGTCTCCTGGGGTTGGGGGAGGGTGAGCCTGGAGAAGGGCCCAGCTCTGAGATGTTCCTGGGCTCGCTCGTTCTCACTCTTTCTCACCGGAGCTTCACTGGTAGCTCAGGAGTACTCTCCCCGCCCACAGTCTGGCACCCTAATACTTGTTTGCTGGCCTCTGACACAGCCGGTCCCTCTGGCTGGCTCATCCAGATGGATATCAGGAGACTAGGTCCATCAAGGAGGGAGGGAAGAAGGGAGGAGGAACCAAATGACGAGAGGAAGACAGGGAGGTGACGCGTGTGTGACTGGGACACTACCCTCTGCCTGATCAGAGGCTTGACTAACCTCCTGAGACCCATGTTCACCCTCTCCCCTGTTTCCACCCAGACCCTTCTCCTCCTATTTCCAAACCAGAAACGGGCACGAGAGCACCAGAATTCCTACATGTGAATCAACCATGTGAGTCACACCGTACGTCGGAAAACTGCACCAACCCATAAGTCACACGTGACCTCAGCAACAACCAAGTAAACAGGACGCTCCTCTCAGCACGCGGCAGGTGGTCATGGTCCCCATCCTGCCACCCAAACACCCGTTTCTTCCTCAAGCCTAGTCCCCTCTCTGTCCCCAGGTTATGGTATTTCCGATCTCTATGGCGCCGGTGGAACAAGGCCAGCCTAGTGAACGGAGGCCTGCCGGGCAGCATCTGGAGGGCCCGTGTGACATTCTTTACGCACCAAGCCCTCCCTCAGCCTGCCTGCTGATCGTGGGAGGCAACCACGTGCCCTAGGAGCCGGGATCTAGGTCACAAGGGCGAGGGACGAAAGGTAGGCTGGACCGGAGCAACCCGTAGCCCGCAGCGGCCCCGCGTGGCCGGTCTAGGCGCCTCGGGATTCCAGCCTGCGCGGCTCCTGCCCCTGCTACCGTCTTAAAGAGACCCGTGAGGCGCCGGCAGAAGCAGGTGGGCGGCCTCAAGTCAGGATCCTAGGCTGGAAAGTACAGCCTTTATCATCTAGGTGAATGGAGACGGCAGATGTACCTGAAAATACTCTTTTGGATAAGAGTGCAAGCCCAAAGCAAGGGCCCGGATAGCTCAGTCGGTAGAGCATCAGACTTTTAATCTGAGGGTCCAGGGTTCAAGTCCCTGTTCGGGCGCTTGGTCCTTTTTGTAAAACTCTACCCACAAATTGCTGCTGTCAGGTTGTTTTACGAGAGCGATGTGGTAACAAAATGATTGACTTCTTTTAAAAGGAGATGAAGATTTGTGAATTGAGAACAGAATGCCGATGAGTGATGATAAAAGGGAAGAGCATTGTCTATGTAAACCACGAGTATGAGATTAATTTTCCTAAAAGCCGCAAGAAGAGTAAAAAGGAACTGACGAAATTGCTTTTAATAATATATTTCAATTAATAGAATATTTGAAAGTCTTATTTTAACTTGAAGTTGGTATTTTAAAATCAGCAATTTTAACTTAATTTTTGAACTTCTTTTGTAATCTTCAGGTTTAGATGAAGCATTCATATCTCGGGTACTCGATAACCACATCTAGCAGTTGACTTTTTCATGCCATTGCTTTGTTTTGTGGTAAATGATAAAAATGGAATGATACGCAAAACAAAATGTAGAATAATATATGTAATATCCGAAGATGCAGAGCAGAAGGGGGTTCCATGGTGTAATGGTTAGCACTCTGGACTCTGAATCCAGCGATCCGAGTTCAAATCTCGGTGGAACCTTAGCTTTTCTTTTTTTACTTTTTTTTTTTTAATCGACTTAATAACTTTAAAATTTATCTGTTTTTTATATTGAGTAGTTTTTATATTGAGTAGTTTCACTCGGTGGGATCTGCGCTGGACTTGAATATACAATACAAAATACAATACAATACACTGTATATTTACAGGCATGTTTACAATGGAGATAGGTTATAAACAGGTCACTTCTAAGGTTGCTTCAACATCTTGTGTATGAATACGAAATGGGTCTAGCGCTCTGTTGGCAAGCCAAAGGAAAAAAGCTAATGCTGAAACACTAGCCAAGCAAAGGTTGTCATAAAATTTAATATTAGACGCCTTAATAATAACAGCAGAGGCTTTAATAATTAATTAACAGCGTCCACATCTGTAGTACAAGCCTCTGGAGAAAAACTCAATGTGGCAGCGGTGGGATTCGAACCCACGCCTCCGAAGAGACTGGAGCCTAAATCCAGCGCCTTAGACCGCTCGGCCACGCTACCCGTACGTAAACTGCGGTTTCCCGTCGTCTTCCTAAGAGAGTAGGACAGCCGTGCTAGCCTCACAACCGGGAACCGACGAGAAATTCTTTAGATGTGTATCTCAAACTCGGGATGAGGAACCACAGGGACCCTGAACGACTTAGTAAGGAGGCTAAACAAACGAACCAGGAGACACAGGGACTTACGACAAAGCACGTTTATTGAGTGTGATCAAGCCTGGGAACCGCGCAAGTCTGCGCTCGGTAGCGCAAGGAGCAACCTGAGCTGTGCCCTGCTGGCGAGCTCACATCCCGTGACTGTCCCTCCCTGCTCCTTGCACCTGCGTCCACCCTCATGCCCGCCTGGCTCACGCGGGGGCTACACCTCATCCCGCCGGCCTCCGAGCCCTTCGCCTCCAGCTCCTACGACGCTCGGCCCAATTTTTGTGCACACTCTCCCGCGCTACCCTTGTTCTCTATGCTAGTCTCCGTATACTGGGAGAAGGCGCCGCCCGCCAGGTGGCTCTGTGGCGCAATGGATAGCGCATTGGACTTCTAGTGACGAAAAAGCAATTCAAAGGTTGTGGGTTCGAATCCCACCAGAGTCGGTTTTATTTATCGTCTCTTGGCTTTCGTTAAAAAAAAAACAAAACACCCACTTTATTTTCAAGTCCAGTCTCAACCTCCGTCCGTCGTACGGCTCCTTACTTACCTGTCTGCCCCAGGGCTTGGGCCGTGGAGAGCAGGCCTAAAGGTGGGAGAAGGGTAGGGGCGTGACGGCGACATAGAGGCAGGCCCCTGGCTAGGGGACACACCGGGATTTAATAACCATTTTATTCCATGCACTAGGGACTCGGGAAGGGACTGGGCCGGGATAGAGAGGGTACAATCCTACACACAGGGTAGCGGGGCAGGGAAAAGGGACAGGAAAATATATATTTATATAGATACTCTAAAATAAACCACATCTCACCCGCGCGCTGAGCCCGCGCGCCCCGCTGCCCTCCTCGCCCGGATCCCTCTCCTGCCCTCTGGCTGGAGTCTCTACCCCACCTCCAACCCCCGTCCCAGCCCCCCCAAAGCTCAGGGCCAAGGTCTCCAAAAGGCGGGCGGTGGGAGTGGCGGGGCCTTGGGCGCCCCGTCTTGTCTGTAAGGCGGCGGCGGCGGCGGCAGCAGTCCGGTGAGGGGCGCCGGCGCGCCGGAATCGCCGGCGCGAGGGGAGCAGTGGGATGGGGACCAAGCGCAGCGGGGACTAGGGGCGCCCTGGTGCACTTGGGGGCGCTGGTGCAGCGCGGGGCCAAGGATGGGTGCAGCAGGGTCCAGCGGTGGGCGCGGCGCTGGGAGCCCTGGATCTACGGCCTCTGGCCTGGGCGGTTTGGGGCGCCGGTAGCCGTGCAGCGCGGAGAAAAGCTGGGAGCGGGCGGCCGGGCTGGCGTCGTGCGCAAAGGCCGCCAAGCGAAGCAGGCACTCGCGGAAACCGGACAAGTAGCAGCTGGCGAGCGCCTCGGCGTCCTGGCCTGGGGACCGGGGAGCCCCTGGTGCAGCCGGCGGGAGGACAGGCGGGCAGGGCAGGGGCCCAACGGGGGTGAGGGAAGGGGCGGGGCGCAGAGATCCCGAGGTCAGACGGGCGCACAGACAGAGACGGGAGACCAGATGGACGTGTAGAGGAGGGGAACGAGAGAGACACAGAGACAGACACGCGCAGGTGTCATTAACCTCGCCTCGGAGCACAGCCGGCCGCTCCCCCAAGCCTCCGTCCCCCGCGGAGCCCGCCCCTTCCCCAGCCCGAGCCTTCCCGGCTCGCACCCACCCTCCCGCCCTCCGCTGCCCCAACTCCCGCGCTGTACCCGGGGGCTCCACCCGGCTTCGCTCCCTCAAGTAGCCCACGGCGAACTCCAGAATCTCCGCTTTCTCCAGCTTCGGGTTCCGGAGGTTCTACAGACGGAGGGAGGCGGGGCGCAGAGACAGAAAGGGGTGGGGAGAGAGGGGGAAAGTGGCTGGGGGAAGAAGGGAGGGGCGGATACGGGAGCTGCGGGTGCCCCCATGACTCGCAACCGAATGTGGAGGTGACCAACAAAGGTCCCTGTCCCACCCTGAGACGAGACTGTCCAACCTGAGGGAGTGGAACCATTTCCCAACTTGTGAGGAGTGTGTAGGAAACAGCAACCCGGATGGTGAAAACCACCGCAGAACTGAAGCTGGCTGCTCCGGGGGCAGGAGGTAGATGATGAGGACATTTAGAAACCCAAAGGGGGAAACTGAGGCATGCTGGAAGCTCAGTTTACAGAGCCAGACAGGAAGCTTACAGACCCACAAGGTGGCGAAGATGGAATTCTGAGAGCGAGAGGAGGTGTGGGATGGGATTTCAAAGGCCAGGCTTGGGTCGGGACGCCTTAGAACCAGGGTCACCACTCCAGCTTATGTCCCCACCCCAGTGGAAAGCCCTGGGACACACTAAAGGGCCTGGGGTCGGCGGTGGAACCGACCTGGTCCCTGGTCCTCTCCAGCAGTAGAAGCCGCAGCTCTTCCAGGCTGCGGTTGATGCGGTCCCGGCGCCGCTTCTCCACCAACGGCTTCAGCATCTGTGACCAGCGGGAAAAGGAGAGCGGACCGACCGGACCGAGACTCAGCGCCGCCACGCGAGAGTCCGATCCTGCCGCTGGGAAAGCCCCCGGCGTCCCTTTCCCATCAACCCCTGATTGCCTAGGGCTGGTCCATTCGTCCACTCTCACTGCCTCTTTCCCAGCGCCCCAGGGTTGGTGAATTTCAGTGGCTCGTCCCCTCTTCTCCCCGCTCCCTGCCCCTTCTGAGTTCTGCTTCATCCTCTTGTCTCCCGTCTGCGACTCTCTCTTCTCTCTACACCTCTGTCTTGCGTGGTCTCTGCGTATTAGCGAAGAACTTTGGGGACGTTCTTTGCCCCACCCTCACGGTAAGGATCAGAGTTAGTAGCCCAGAGTGGAAGGGAGACACAGAGCACGACCACACCTCCTGGAGGCAGTCGCCTAGAAGTAGCCATTGGTTCTCCTAAAATCTCTCACCCGGCCTCGCACTTCTGGAACCCAAAAGTCTTCTCTGTAAGTCAGAAGCGGTTCACAACCGCTTACTGACGGAGAGCGTCCACATCCTCTCCTCTTTTTGTCCCCGCCCTGCTCCACGGGCTCTGTCCTCTAACTTATGTTGTTTTGTTTCTTTTGCTTGCTATGTGTTTGTAGGGCTCACTCCATGGCCTCGAACTTGCGGTAATCCACCTGCCTCAGCTTCCCGCCCCCACCCCAGCGCTAGGATAGACCACGGTGCCCAAATTCTGGCACTCTCAGGAGCTCTCCAGGCCACAAGCCACAGCCCGCAATAACATAAACCCCTAGACCTCGGCTTCCGCCAACCACGCAAATTCGGCTCTGACCCTGTCCTCTTCATACAGGTTCTTTGGGTCTCACGAGCATCTCTGTCCTTCCAGTCAGTCCTGTGTCTCCATCCTCACCCCTAACCCACAATGTTAGGACCTTTAAGTCCTCTGGCGGGAAAAGGGGGTCCTTGCTCCCACCCTTCCCACCTCTCACCTTGGGGCCGTCCCTATTCTCAGCTCGATCCCGAGTGACCATTGCGCCTCCGGACCCTGTGGTGGACGCAACGCGTGGTCCCTAGATCTTTATATCCTGCCTCAGCAGGGTAGGAGGGATAGGACCCGGACCCGCCCCCTTATGCTCCAGGATGCCTAGGGCCAAGACCCCGGCACGAGGCTCCCGGAAAGGCGGGGACTAGAGGGGGAGGGGAAGGAGAGAACTGGCCCCAAGTGTGGGAGCAAGGGAAGGAAGGGGCCACAGGCTGGTTTAAGGACCTTAAGGGGCTGTATAAGAAGGAGGGACTCAACCGAAGGGAGGGGAATGAATTGGGACACAACTCGCTTAGACATGAAATTTGGGGATCTAAAAGAGTAGATTTCTTGGAGGTTCACTATAGCCTCACCAACACCGAAATAAATGTAGCGCTCTTCAGCCTTGGGCAGGAGCAACCCCTAGAGGCATAGAGCAGGTCTGTCTGCGGGATTCTATTGGCTAGCTGTGGGAACGCTCACCGGGTACCTTCTCTTCTACTCAGTTCCCACAGTCACTCCACTGCTTAGCCCTGCGTTAGTGAACGCAGCATCTGCCATCAAGCGGCTATTACTGAAACGTGTGCTCCGAGAACAGGTTTCCTTGAGGATGGCTGGACTCGGGGGGGGAGGGGCGGGGGGGGAGTGGGGCAAAGGAAGCGTCTAGAAAAAGCAAGTATAAAGCCCTTTTAAAGTATAAGTAGGAGTGAAGAAATCTTTCCATTTGCAAGTATTTGGTTTAAAACCAAATTCAGGAGTATGGCTAACGGGGAAAACCTCACCACAAGCGCGCCAGAGTTACTTGCCTCTGGAGGCGTCTGGTGACTGTAGAGGAGCAGGAAAATGTGAGATTTGCAAAAGGAACAAGAAAGGGTTGGTTACAAAAAGGGATCCGCACCCACCTCAAACCAAGAGCATGACCCTCGACGGAAGAAAGTGTCAACACTTAGAGACTTCAGGACGAAGTGCCTGAGGAGGTAAAACCGAAATTTAGCATGACAAGAACACCTGGGGAAAGGACACCATAAAGACAGGGGCTACAAACCCTACAAACCGGGCCAGAAGGTAGTTGTGGAGTCAGAGACAACTTCCAGAGGCCCTCCCCATCCTGAGCGGCTTTTCTGGCAGAGGCTGCCTTGCCAAACGCAGAGCGGGAGGGGCCCAGACTTAAGAAGGGGGCTCCCATTTGGGATTAGGGCCCCCAGTACATTCCACCTTCCCTACTTCAGCCAAATGGGAGCACAGATGTGTGGCCACAGCAGGCCCCTCCGCCCCCCTCCTTGGGAACCAGGATTGGGGTTGAGTTTTTCTCACCTGCACGTGAGGCTCGAGGGCCGGGGCAGTTTGCACCCGGGTGTGGGGCCGCCCCTGGCCATATGGAATGACTTTATGGCCCGGTGGCCGGATCCAAGGAAAAGAAAGAATGGCCCAGCGCTCCACCCACCTTAACTATCCTTCACAAACCCTTTCCACACACAGAGGCTTGAGCACGGCTAGCTCCGCCTCGGACAACTTCAGATACATTCATTACGACAGCTCTTTCTGTCTGCATTGGTGGTTCAGTGGTAGAATTCTCGCCTGCCACGCGGGAGGCCCGGGTTCGATTCCCGGCCAATGCACAAGCGACTTCCTTTTTTCTTTCGAACCAGGAGAAAATTAAATTGATGAGGCTCCAGTTCAAGCAAGCGACTTTTTTTCTTAAACATTTCAACCAAAAGTGATCTGTAGTGTTTTGTTTCCGCGGCCGCCCTGGAAGCTCCGGAACTGGTCACTGACTCGGCGGATCCTCATACCTCCCTCCCACCTCTAGCCAGGGAGGTTCTGGCTGCCCGACACACACACCCACGTCCTACCCTCCGCAACCCAGAGAAAGGACAAGCAGCTGGGATCCCTGCCCGGGGTCCTCTCCGCCCTTGGCAGGGGAGGGCCAGGTCTTCCTGATCTTTCTTTCCCTCTCCTCTCTTTCCCTCGCATTTTCTGCTCTGAAGCGCCTTTTCCCCAGGTCCAAGGACCTGGCATGTCAGCCTTCTGGTCTTTCGGATCTGAGTGCTTCTCAGCGACTCCATCTCGCTCTGATTTTTTTTTTTTTTTTCTTTTTAAAGGTCTCAAGGCTGGGGTTCTCCGGGTCTAGGGTGGTCTCTTCGGCCTCTGAGTCTCGCGTCCCTCTGCTGCTCCCTCTCTGCACCTCTCCGGCTGCCTAGTCCTGTTTCCTGGTCCTTGTCGCCTGCGGGGACCCTGCGCTCCCACGCTCTCACACCCGGTTCCCCGCAGCTCCCGGGCCCGCCCCTGGCCGGCAGCTTTGATCCCGCACGCGCCGCGCCCGGGGAGGGCGGGACCCTGCACGGCCACCTGCCGAAGCAACCCGGGGGTCCTGACGCCCCGCGCTCCCTTTCCGCTCCCCTCCAGAGCGCGCCGCCGCCCTCCGCGCCCCTCCTCCCGGCCTTCTCAGGTTCTCACAGTCTGAATTCCGGTTTAAGCCTTCCTCTCCTGTCTCTTTCAGCCTGGTGGGTCTCATCTTGGACTGTGTCAGTGACAACACTCCCTTCTCAGTTCCAAGCTGGGGCCGTGGTCCTAGGAGAATAGTAAACGACCTTGTTGTCATCACTGCGAGCCCAAGTGGTACATTTGCCCGATCAATGGTAGATCTGTGTGTGCCTGCTGTGTGCCCACTATTGTAAGGATTTGGGGGTACATTGGCCCTGAGTTCTCCCGAAACGTGCATTATTGGCGGTGTGGGGACAGGAAACAACCAAGAAGGCAGAAAATAGACTAGGATAATTTCCCGTGGTTGTAAGGAAAAGTGCAGCCACGTGACAGTGAAGTGCTTTCTAGTTTAGTCGGAGTGGCCAGAGGCAGCCTCACGGCGGTGGTAATACCTCAACGTGGTCACCCACGTGTCCCAGCCCTCCTGTTGAAAAGAGATGTGTTGGGGAGCTAAAGAAAGAACCTAGAACAGAGAACTGGGGAATGGAGGATGTAAATTGGGATACAAGATAACAGAGTCCATTTCACAGGATTTTAGAAGCCTTAAAGGGTCTTGGGGATTGAGTGCAATGGAGAATTCAAGACCAGCTTTGGCAACAAGACCACTTTTGAGGTGACATCCTAGCTTGAGCAAATGTTCTTTTAAGAAAGTGTAGCCCCCACTTTCCTATGCCATACCCTGCATCTTCCCACCTCTCAATGGGAAAGGGGTCTTCCCTGCTCCTGAGGCCCATTCTCCACCTCCTCCACACGCTGGCATCAACCCACCCATCTCCGACCCCACCCCAGATTCCCATTATTCCCATGGGCATCCGAAGTGCTACAGGCCATTTGATGAGAAGCGTGCGAAACGCTCATTTTGAAGAGTAGAAAAATAAACCTATGGGTTTAAGGAAATAGGCTTTCTCAGCCTGCTGGCGGCCTGTCTGAGAATTTCAAGTGCATAAGCTGCTTCACCATGATGCTAACGAAATTGAGGAACCCAAAAATAGAATCTAGGGAAAGTTCCAGCAAGGTGTTCATCGGGCCATAGCATTCTGTAAATTTCACATACACACGATGAAAAAAATACACAAAATAGTAAGGCAGTCTGTGGAGAATATTGTGCAGGTCTACCAGGAGTCAGGGTGCTTTCCTGGCATTTGTCAGTGTTCTGCTTGTTAAGTGTTAGTTATGGTTTAATCATCATTGTAATTATTTTTAAGGCAGGGTCTTGCTTTCCTCGCTGTGTTTTATTTCACTGACAGCTTATCAGATTTTCCCCCTCGTGTTAAGGATTGAACCCAGAGTTTCATCCTCTGTCTGCTTTTTAAATATGTAAATTGCTGCATTCTTGCATTGTTCTAAATATTATTTCTTATACCTCATTTATGCACTATATGGGTAGGGGTGGCGCACGCCTTTAATCCCAGCACTTGGGAAGAGGCAGGGGCTTCTCTGTAAGTTCAAGACCAGTCTGGTCTACAAGAGCTAGTTCCAGAACTGGCCAAAGCTACAGAGAAACCCTGTAGGGGGAGGGAGGGGACACACGACACAAAACAACAACAACATAAAGTTACCTTCCAGTGAGACTAGTTGAATGAACTGAGTAATTTGACTCCAACTCCTTGCTCTGGTGCAGGTGTGACCTGTGATGTGGCCTGTGTAGATGTCCCTAATGTACTTTGTTTTGTGTGTGTGTGGGGGGGATCTCTACGAAGATCCTAAGCCTCTGTTTTAGAAAGAGCCTGTGTCCAGGAATGTGGTGGTTGTGTCCTATCAGCACATG